AGTGATTACTGCATTTAGGACCTATTTTATTAATCTTCTCAGGATGCATAGCAGAATACCACAGACTACAGTTTAAAGGGAAAAAATATTTTCTCATGATTTTGGGGGCTTACAGTCCATTATCAAGGTGCTAGAAAGGGTTGGTTTTTAGTGAGGCCTCTTTGCCTGCAGACTTTGTCCTACATGGCTTTTCCTTTGTATGTAATTGGAGAACAAGGAAGATCTCTCATCTCTTTCTCTTCCTACAAGGACACTTACTGGATGAAGGCACTACTTGAAGGCCTGGCTTAACTTTAGCTCTTTAAAGGCCTTATTGTTAAATTAAGTTGCACTGAGATTTAGGGTTTCAACATTGGAATTTGGAGGAGAGCACTGTTCAGTGGGTAGTACTCCTGTGAGAGTGAGTGATCATATAGTTAATATGTGGAGACTTTTCTCTTTTTTTTTATTAACAGGAAATAGGTATTACAAAGCATGGTTTTTGGATAAGATGGAGACTAGCTTACATTTTTATTTTAGTATCCATGTTTTAGATTTTCCACCAATAAATGTGTGCATTATAGATTTGTGTACATGCTACTTCCAGGGATAGCCTGTAAAAACTTCCCTCATACCCAGGCAATGGTTATCACCTGTAATCCCAGCATGTGGGAGCCTGAGACAAGAGGATTGCCACAAGTTCAAGACCAGCCTACACTACATGAGTTGAAGGCCAGCCTGGATTGCATAGTGAGACTGTCTCAAAACAAAAAAGACTTTTCTCTTGTAATGAGAAAATACCATGATTTTTCCATGAAACTTGTTCAATGGAGGAGGAAATAATTCATGTTGTATATAGACTCTGCACACTTTGCTTTCTTCACCTACAAAATAAGAGAATTAGACTAATTGATAATGAACCCTGAATTCTCTGGTTCTCCATTTCAGAGTTACTGGTTCCTACATTACCTAGGAAGTAGATTATAGGATGGATATTGTAATAGAAATTGATGTTCTGTAAATCAGCGTTATACCAACTTCCCATAACTAAAGTGAAAGGCTTAATCATACTGTACCTATAAGTTCAGTCTTTTCAACTAGCTATGCTGGTTAGATTTTACTATGTATACTGTGAAGGTTTAGAAGTGCAGTTTCTCTTCCAATTAATAATACCTTTTAGGGCTGGCCAGATCCCTCAGCGGATTAAAGTGCCTACTTAGGAAGACACAGGGGCCAGGGGTTCAATCCTCCAGCATGCCATGCTGGCCCCGCACACATGGCCACTGAGACAGTGATTGAGACTGAGCGTGGTGGTGCATGCCTATAATCCCAGCGCATGGGAGGCTGAAAACAGGATCATTACAAGTCCAATCTGTATAGTGAGACCCTATAGACCCTGTACTAAATACATAAAAAATACTCTTTATTATATTATATATATTTTTTCTCTATTTCATGAACTTTTAATGGATTCAAGTAGTATAGTCATTATAGATAGTAAATTATGACAATGTCTTTCATCCTTCTGTTTCAAAGGCAGTAACCACGATTAACATTTTAGAATGCCTCTTTCCATTTTTCTTTCTATGAATGTATAAATGAATGTTAATTTATGTACATATTTTTCATAAATGGGATCATGCTGCATATATTGTTAATTTTTTTCCCTGAACAGTATAGCTTAGAAATTTGTCATACATGCCAGAATGTAGTATTCATACCACTTTAAAAAATGACTTATAATTACTATGGTGATATATAATGTTATTTAACCATCCCCCTTTATTAAACATTGATTTCTTTATCCCACTTTAAAATAATGAGATGTGAACATGTTTGAAAGTACACGCAAAAAAAAAAAAAAAAGCAAAAAAATAGGGGCTGGGGAGATGGCTCAGTAGAATAAGTGCTTGCCTGGCAAGCGCAGGGCCCTGAGTTCAATCCCTAGTACCGCAAAAAAAAAAAAAAAAAAAGTACATTGATTCGTGTAGAATGTATTTTCTGCAAGTGGAATTGAACATACTAAAAAATTTTGATAGCTGCTGCCAAATTGCTTTGGTAAAAGATTTTACAAATTCACATATATGTTGGCAAGAGGCAAGTGTTCATTTACCCTTCTCATTGCCAAAATTATATCACTGTTTTAAGATTGTTTCCAGTTGGATGGTTTAAAAGTTATATTTCTTTTTCAAAAGTTGTATTTATATGACATCTGGATGTTGAACATCTTTTTTTCATTTCTTTGTTGAATATTCATTATTTTTTTCTGAGTTGCTCTAAATTGCCCATTTTTCATATGGCATTAAGTACATTTTGATATTGATTTGTAAGAATTTTCTAAAGTATTTTGCATATGAATCCTGTAGGTATTACAGATGTGTATTTTCCCTGTCTTATTTTTCTTTTTAGAATGGAAACATTTCATTTTGTGATATTGCTCTCTGTATGGTTATTATGTTTAAGAAGGAACTTTTTCAGGTATCGTGCACTTTTTTCTCACTGATTTGAAGTCCTCAGTATAATCTAAATTTCTATAGACAGTATATGCAAACCTATTTTCTGACTGTGTTTTCTATTTTTCTAATTCCTTTCCTAAGAGTGTACTTCAGTTTTAGTATGTTACTAGGTTTTTTAAAAATCTGAACATGGGTTGGGGAGACAGCTTGGCAGTCTAAGCCTGGCAAGCACAAGGACCCGCGTTTGACCCCAGTACCACATGCTTTGCTCGCCCCCAAAATTGGGCGTGGTGGCACACACCTGTAATCCTAGCACTGGGGAGGCTGAGACAGGAGGAGCCCTACAAGTCTTAGCTGTATAGTGAGACCCTGTACCAAATAAATAAATAAATAAATAAATAAGAAGATTTTTTCAAAATTAAAATCTGAGAGTAGAAGAACACTACCTTTCATTATTTTGTTTATAGGCTCCCCCCACACACACCTTTTCTTGGTTAGCTATTACTTGTCAGCGTTGCTGTAACCTTACTCTAACTTCCTCTGACTTGTTAGAAAATGCAGACAGCTGGCATTTTAGGTAAAGCAGTTTGGACAAGATGACATGCCTATGTTTTGTACTCTGCATAATTGCTACGAAGATGACAATATGTGATATACTAATAATTGTAACTCTCCTACTAACCTGTTTTGAAACTATTTTATTATTTTTTTCTGTTTAAAATAAAAAAGTGAAGAATTCATAGAAGATTGAGTTGCTATAGAGTGCTCTTGCTTTAATGCACAATATTATTGTGTATGTTTTAGTTTCTCAGAAACCTGGATGTTTTTATTTTTAAGGTCTTGGTAATATTTTATATAGTTTAAACCTAACCCTAACTATATAAATCTTTATTTTAAAATTATGAGCAGAAACTATTTTAAATAACCTCTTCTGAATAATTTTGTCTCTGTATTAGTGAAAATTGTATGTTAATATGGAATAAGTATAAATATGACTAAACCCATGTTTTCCTTGTGAATTTCTATCTTAATAGTAATTAAGGAAAATAATCTTAACTCTTCTTATTTTAAATCAGCTGTAGATAGATGCCATTAGAAGTGCAGCCTCTGTTACCATGGAGCTTCCTTAACTCAAGGTCAACTTTTCTTTAAAAAGCTGAGGCCTGCTTAATGCTTTGAAAAAGTAATTCTCATTGACCTTGTGCAGTTATATCCTTTATTATGCCTAAGTTACTAGGTTTTCATGAGAAACTTAAAGTGGTCATCCCTTTATTTTCCCTTTAAAATCAATAGAATAGCCTGCATTATGTGCTTACATCCAAAGCATATAAATAGAGAAGTAACCATATATAAATAAAAATTTTGTGCCATGCTGTTTTTTATGTTATTCAAATTAATTGAATAGATTTGACATTCTTTTTAGAACTTTATTTTAAGCTTTGTGAAAAACAGTTCTCATGCTGTGAATTTGTATGTATGAGTGTTTTACATATTGCTGAAGGAAATACATTTTTCTTATCTTAGGTGATTACTTAAGGGTTTCTGGGGTTGCAGTAAGATTTGGGAGGTCTGAGTTACAGAAGGGGCACAATACTTTTTCTACACATTTCAGTGAGTAAGAGATACACAAATATCTGTAATAGTTCTGTATTGTGGTTGGCATCTGGAGAATCTAGTCAAATTTCACCTAGAGCAAAATGTATTCTTTTGATTTTGGGGATCCTAAAGGTACGTGCATTCTTTGCTTTTGGACTTTAGTAGATTGATACAGGTGATAAAACAAAATTCACAAAATATAGTATGTAGAAATATATTGATTGGCCCATACAATGTTTTTAAAATATCTGGATTTATGGCATCTCCTGAAGTATGACAGACTGGGCCCATATTATCACACGGCAGCAACTGGACAGACAAATGCTATCCAATTTGCCAAAAATTTATGTTACTACCTATCACACAGTTGTTGCTACCATTTATCACGACACTTTCAGTCATCCACTTGCTAAACTTATTTTTGTTTCCTATCAAACTCCTGAAACGTTGATGTATTTGATTTATACTTATCAGTCCACACTGCTTTCTCTGTTGGATATACCCAGTGTAAAAATGGTAGGTAGAAATTTAGCATAAAATAAAAGCAACTTATTTTCCTAGAAACATGCTACACATTCAGGTATTTTATCTTTAATTTTATGGGCTTTTTTTTCTTTCCTTAAAATATTTAATTTGTTTTTGAGTGAACCCTACTTGGCTCAACTCCTAAGACCTTGAATTTTCTTTGATTACCTCTATCTACAGCAGTTTCTTCCTCCACTGGTCTTAGAACACTTCTTTTCTCCAGCATTCTAAGTTTCGTAATAGCAGAGCTTTAGAGAATATCATTCAACTAAAGGGTTGAGTTCCTCCGAAGAGAACTTTGATTTAGTGTCATCCTTATATAATTCACAATTCTTTTTTCTTTAGAGAAATTAATGTGTAAGTTGTCATTTTGAAGAGTAAGGAAGTAATTTTTATATTACTGTTGGCCTTCTGACGTTAAATATTATTTTTCTTGCCTTTCAGTTACAGATGAGGACACAGTAAAGAGGTATTTTGCCAAATTTGAAGAAAAATTTTTCCAAACCTGTGAAAAGGAACTTGCCAAAATCAACACATTTTATTCAGGTGAGTGAGTGGTCACCAGAGATAATTCACACTTCAAGTGAAAGAAACTCCATAATGTCGTTTAAACTTCTGATCAGTGTTGCTTGATTGAGGCGTGGTTTTCATTTTCTTCACTAAATGAGTATTTTGTTTAGTGCATATAGGAACTTGTCTGGTAACTAAATGTTGAAGCTTTATGTGGTCATTGTCATACTGCCTTGGGATTTTAAGGATTTCAATTTTTCAAGAATCAAAATTTGATCTTACCATTTTTCGTAAAGCTGTTTTACATAGTTCCAGATTATAATTTATGTTAGATCTATGCCTTTTAACTGTCAAAAGAGGCATCTACAATATTGTATTGGAGTATGAAAAGAACATACTAGAACTTGTTTATTTACGTGTGACCATTTAAAATATTTTATGTATGTATGTTGTAATATACATAATATAGATTAGTAAAACAGTGTCTTTTTTTTTTTTTTCCTTCTTCTTCTTTTTTTGCGGAACTGGGGATTGAACTCAGATCCTTGCGCTTGCCAGGGAAGCGCTTATTCTACTGAGCCATCTCCCCAGCCCAAAACAGTGTCTTTTTAAGGAAAAATGTTGAGACCTTTGCTCTAGAGCACTGCCTTAACCATCATAATTCCTTTGAAACCTAGGAAAAATCAAGTGATTTAATGAGTACAGAATCAGAACAAAGTAAGTTAGATTCAGAAGAACACTTTATCCAAGTTCTGAAAAATCCTTACATGTAATCCCTGTCAGATTGCTAAATTTATACTCTAATAGCTGGTATACCTATTAAATGTAATGAATCCATTTACTGAACAATAATGAATTTCTTAGTCATTTTCTGTTGCTGGAAACCTCAATGCCATAGGCTGGGTAACTTTTCAAGAAAAGTAGTTTATTTTGGCTCACCATTTTGTAGAGGCTCAAGTTCATGAGATCCCATCTGTTGATGATCTCTTTTTGCTGGTATGGTTCAGAGGCAGCAGAGAGCATCACATAGAAAGAGATGCATGTGTAGTGTGTATGTCTTTTGATATCTCCTTCTTTTTACAAATCCACTAGAGTTATTAAGTCATGGTGGCTCCCTTGTTTAATTCTAAACACCTCCCGGTATTCCCTGCTCTAAAAACCATCATTGGATTGAATTTCTATCCTTTGAATATGTTACAGTGGAATCCTCAACATAGGTTTGACAAACCGTAATCAGTAATAGAAATCAATGTGCTACATGAGTTTTAGAGGATACAAAGCATGTTCAGATTATAGCAATGGATAAAATTTTTACTCTTAACTTTATTTCATTTATAAATATAAAGTATTCTCTATTTTTCTTTTCATATTTACTATCAATTATATTCATGCTAAGCTTTTATTAAGTTAGATAAGATTTTAATTTTCTATCAGATGTGATTATTGAGCATATACCTCATCCCTTGACCAACGCTTTGAAAATACTCTTATCTTAATGTTAGCATAGTCATAAACCACCTACCAGTATGGGTTACTAAGGATGAAATTTCATGACATTAGTAGTTTCTTATTCAGAGGGCGAATATTTCTTTCTAGCTTGTCTACAACTTCTGGGAGCATCTTGCTCAGGTATTCTTCAACAATGCCCCACACACACATAACCCGCCTCATGGAGGCTGAGTTTTCTTTTTTATGGTATAGTAGGAGATGGGAAATGGGGATGGAGAGAGGTAAGATGAGGCAGTAAAAAGGACTGCCAAAAGATGGGTAGTTAAGCACAACATTGTTTTAATGATTGTTATTGTTCTAAATCATTATTTCTAAGAATTGCATGTAAAATTTGGTCTTCAAGTATTTTTAGAGCATTCTACTCTCTGTCATTCCTGTGTATTTTCTTATCAATTTATTGACTCCTTGCTTACGCATTGAAAATTTAGACTTGTCTATCAGTCCCAATGTCTGCTAATTTTTTTTATAACCCTTAATTTTTTTTTTTTTTTTTTTTTTTTGAGACAAGATCTTGTTACGCAATGGATAAAATGCAGTCCAGGCTCGCCTTAAACTCACTATATAGACCAGGCTGGCCTCAAAATTGTGACAATCCTCCTTGCTCAGCCTTTTGAGTGCTGGATTATAGTATGAGCCACCATACCCAACTAGGAAGAACCTATTTATAATTCCACTCTACTTTGGTCAGATACTTCCATGGCCATACTCATCATCCAAAATTACTCTCCTTTAAAAATATTAAATCCTACTATAAGAATCTGTGACCATATATCCCAGCTGTTAAGCTTTTTATTGCCCTATTCTTTAGCATATGTTTTTCCATTTTATAGAGCTCAAGTTCCTCAACTCCTGCATTTTATTGTAGTAGATCATGTTCCTTCCAGAACTCCTTATCAGTCATTTTAAACATTGTGCCCTCTGTACTTTTCATCCCTTTATATTGCTTCTGACTAGCCAAATTCAAACATTCCAGCCTTTACCATCTTCATGCCTGCTCCCAGGACTGTAGGACAATAGCAGAGTAATTAGAACCCCTGTAAACTTGCTGTTGCACCCTCAACTATGTCTTTAAAACTGCCTATGGTCCCTAAGCAGTGCTCATTTCCATGATCCAGAGTACGTTTATAAGCCTTATACCATTCTCATGATTTGCCTTGTTTTTTTCTTATTTGGCAGTCCTGGACTTCATACATGTGAGACAGATGCTTTACTATTGAGCTGCCCTTCCCAACTCCTTTTCCCAGCTGTTAACATACTGTCATCATCACACTCATTATACTCTCTACTTTATAAATAAAAATAAAGGCTATCAGTTCCCCAAAATTTATAGATATTCTTATCCTCATTTTCTTCCAGTCTTTTTTTTTTTTAAAGACAGGGTGCTATTAAGTTGCCTATGCTAACCTGATTGTCTGCTTCAACCTCATGAGTAGCTGGGATTACAAGTGTGGACTACCACATCTGGATTTTTCTATCTTTGCAGAAATGATATCCCTTTCCATTTTGTGGCAAATCTCTACAATTACCGAATGAATCTCAACTCTTGGAGACTTCACTTCAGTATAAGTCTGAATGATTGCAGTGAGAATAATTGAATAAACATACTTAAATTCCCTTTTTATTAGTTTAGTCTTCCTTAGCAGGTCATTCCCTTCAAACTATAAATAAGCATATTTTTAGGCTATATTCTCCCCCTCCTTCTCCTAAGAAAAGGCATAAATACATGCCTTTTACACTAGTTTAGAAGCACCTAGAAGCCAGAGACAAAATAAAAATATTACTTGACGTCTTGCAAATGGATAGATTTTCTACAAGGGAAAATTGTGCAGAAGAAATTGCAATATCCAAGGACGAAGATAATTTCCACAATTAAGATGTGAAAGGTTAATGAAAAACTAGCAATGTATTCAGAAAAAAAAGCAAACTTTGGAGGAGGAGGAGGAAAAGAATGAAAGAAGATATTTGCATTAGAAAGCATATTTGGATTAAAGGCTATTAGCTCTTGAGCTGAGGCTATAAATGAAAAATGTGTAAGATAAAAAAGAAATGTAAGATCAAGTTCAGTAGTATTTCTTTTCATTGTGATGGTTTTTGGAAAGTCTCATCATCCCAATTTTAAAGGGGTGGTACATCATAAAGAGTAAATAATGCTTCTTGGTTTATGAAAAAAATTACTCTTGGCAATATATAATTGTTATATTTTGAGTTACAGTAGATTTTTACATTTTGAGTTATAAAGAAAAATATATCTGTAAGGGCCGGCAAGATAGCTCAGTGGACTAAAGCACCTATCTAGGCAGAGCACAGCGACTGGGGTTCGATCACACTGAGACAGTGATTTCGACTGGGGGTAGGGGAGGTGCCTGTAATCCCAGAGCTTGGGAGGCTGAAAACAGGAGAATCACTACGAGTCTGATCTATGTAGTGAGACCCTGTAGACCTTGTACTAAATACATTAAATATAGATATAGGTAGATAGATAGATATTATATATCTATAGATATATATTATAGATAGATAGATAGATAGATAGATAGATAGATAGATAGATAGATATCTGTACTATCATCCAGCATATATATCGAGTTATGCAGGTCTTATGTATGTTTATATAAACGTGTGTGAATATATAACATACTTAAATGATTTGACTGACTTATTACTATTTATATTCCATTTTTATACTTCTTAATTTATGTTTGCGTTTTTAAAATGCTGATTATGATATATTGATATCATGACCCCCATATCAGGTTATGATGCTCAGTTTGAAAAATGGTACATTAAACAAGGCTACTTCTGAAAAATAATTGTAGGCTACCTATTAAAAATTTGAGTGCTGGGGCTGGTGAGATGGCTCAGTGGTCTAAAGCACCTACTTAGAACAAGCTTAGCAAAGCACAGGGACCGCGGTTCAAGCCCCCAGCACCACATGCCAGCCAGCCCCGCCCCTTGGTGGGCTGAGCTGGCCACACACACACACACACACACACACACAAATTAAAAAAAATAAAAATAAATAAAAATAAAAATTTGAGTGCTGATTTAGTGCCTTCTGCTTGTCTATTGGCAGGGCCACTGGGGCATGTCTTGAAGTCACCCAGAGTAGGTACAAATTGATAGACTGCAGACTGACTTTTTGTAAGGTCAAGAAGTGATAGGTAATATGAAGACATGATTGACAGAAATAGAATTTGTCACTTGCTCTAAATAGTATCATTTCTTTCTTTATTTGGCTACCTTCTCCACAGTATTGTCTTATAGACTACAATCCTCACGCACTAGGACATATTCAAAACTAAATAATACAGGGGTGAGTTAAGCTTATTAAACTTCCACATATTTACATGCTACAAATTAAGATAGGTAATAATAGTTTTTAAGTTACATACTATTTACTTAGGCATTTTTTTAAGACAAGCTCTCACAGTGCAGGCTGGCTTTAAACTCACTTTGTAGCCCAGCCTGGCCTCAAACTCATGGCAACTCTCCTGCCTCAGCTTCCCCAGTACTGGGATTACAGCCATAAAACACCACACCTGGCTGAGTTACACACATTCTTGACTGAAACCTTTAAATGCCCCAAAACAAATTGTTTTATTGGCTATATCTCATCATACCAAAAATAGCCAAACAAAGCAGAATGAAAATACCAATTCTGTTATCTGATAGTTGCAGTATAAGCCTTTTTTTAAAAAAGATTTTATTTATTTATTTATTTATTTATTTATTTATTTATTTTGTGTGTGTGGCCAGCTCAGCCCACCAGGGGGCAGGGCTGGCTGGCATGTGGTGCTGGGGGATTGAACCGCTGTCCCTGCTTAGCTTTGTTTGTTCTAAGTAGGTGCTTTAGACCACTGAGCCATCTCACCAGCCCAAGCCTTTTGTTTTTTAAATGTTTACTATTTAATCTTTCCAGACCTCCATGTACTTTCTTGTAAAATGAGCAAATTGAATCCCAGTGCTCTAGGATTGCAATTGTTAGGAGTCAGAAGCTATTTTCAGTGTTTATATAATCAGATGTAAGTTATTTTATTGCTTGTCTTTTGTTATAAGCTCTTGGCTAATAAAAAAATTGGCATTTATTTAACTTTATAGATGAAATCTTTTAGTATTTGAGGACCTTGGGAGAAGAGAGGAATTTTGAAAAACAGGAGATCCTTTGTAGTAGAAGCATTATTAATAAGTGAGCTAGAAGTCCCATTAGTATTTGAAACTGTATTAGTACAGTTTTTAGTGGTAAGAATTTTCAGATGAAAGCACTGTAAAATTTGTACATAATGTAATGGGATTACCTATCTTGAATCATCTGTGATGATTCAAAAGTCTTATAAACTTAAACTTTATATTTCAAAGAACAGTGAGGTTCATAAATTGAAATCCACAAGCTGATAATAAAAAGACAGGTAAAGAAATAATAAAAATATTTTCAGACTGTCTTCTAAAGAATTATTCAATTACATAACAGTATAATTAATAGCTTTGCTGTTCTACAAATAGTTGGTACTTCTGAAATACCTTTTTTCTGAAAGTAAGCAATAGATGGGGAAAAAATGATCTTAAGAGTTTAGGGCTGGTGAGATGGGTCAGTGGTCTAAAGCACCTACTTAGAACAAGCTTAGCAAAGCACAGGGACCGCGGTTCAATCCCCCAGCACCACATGCCAGCCAGTCCCGCCCCCTGGTGGGCTTAGCTGTCCACACACACACACACACACACACACAAATAAGTAAATAAATAAATAAAAAGAGTTTCTTTAGCTCTTTGAGGAATACGTGGGTACTTTGAAAGTTCTTGAATCATTGGAAATTTTTGTCAGATGTATTGTAAGAAGTTTCTGACACTGAAGTATGTTATTAAAATAGTCTTTTTTTTATTCATGGTCACTTGTTTTACTATCATTAGAAACTGAAGTTTATTTTAAAAGTAGGCTATTTTCATTAGAATTTTTTATTTTTGTAAGAATATTGATAGATCTTCATTCATAGATCAAAGTATGCTTCTTTATACGTATACAGCTTTTTCCCAGATCTATGTAATTGCAGATATATATGAACTTTCTGGTAATCTGAGTCTAGAAAATTGAGGATTCATTCCAAAATAGATTTGGACACTTGTTCAAAATGCAATGTTTCTTGTCTCATTAAGACTTATTTTATTTTATTTTTTTTTTGTTTTTTTTTTAATTTTTGACGGAACCAAGGATTGAGCTCAGGCCCTTGCGCTTGCCAGGGAAGCGCTTATTCCACTGAGCCATCTCCCTGGCCCCCTTGTTAAGACTTTAGAAGTATATAATATAACTGTAGTATTAGTAAATATGATCCTTTCAAGTTAAATATGCTACTTCCCTACCTCTACTCAGAAAGTTTTATGTGTTCCTCTAAATAGTTATCTCCTTAAGGAAGAGAATCACTAATTTAAACAAAGTAGAAAAATATACCTGAAATTCTAGTTTCTCCTCCATTTTTATGTGGGAATGTCGATTACCTGAAAGAACTTATTACTCATTTATTCAACAAATGTGAATTGAGCCTACTTCCTATGGTTGACATTTTCATAGAACATGTACAGCCTATATCAAAGTTACTTTTCAGGAACCCATTGTAAACTAAAAATATCATAAATTTAAAATGGATTTATTTAATATACCTAACTGACTCCCAAATACCATAGCTTTGCCTAGCCTTTCTTAAATGTCCTCAGGAAGAATACCTACAGTACTTTGTTGAGCAAAGCCATGTAACACAAAACTTAGAATAAAGTATTGAATCTTTTGTAATTTATTAGAAATCTGTATCCAAAACTATGTTGGCAACACTGGTTATTTACCTTTGTATTTGTGTAGTTACATTAATGATTAAAATTTTTCTTTGCTTTTCGGGTCTATAGTATAAAGGGCAACAAGTGGCCAGGTAGCAGTGTAGTCTTCCAGTTCAGGAGAACAATTATATTCTTTTTGTTTGTTTGTTTTTGTTTTTTGTTTTGTTTGTTTTTTTTTTTTTTTTTTTTTTTTTTTTTTTTTTTTTTTTTTTTTTTTTTTTTGCGGAACCAGGGATTGAACTCAGGTCCTTGTGCTTGCCAGGGAAGCGCTTATTCCACTGAGCCATCTCCCCAGCCCCCAATTATATTCTTCTTAATAGAAATATTTCTGCTTTTGAGAACTTAACAGGCAAAGCTGACATCTTAGGTTGGAAAACTAACATTGTATGAGTGGTTATTAGATTTAGAAAGAAAAACCCACCCTTGATTCTTAGGCTTTTATATTTTTGTTATCGTAGAGACAATACTATGTAATGGTTTCTTTATTATATGTTGTATTTTTTAGACTTTTGTCTCCCAGCTCATCTTTACTAAACCTATTATGCCATCTGTTTCTGAATAGGTGATAAAATTCTTTAATGTCATGGGAATGATCCCATTGATTCTTTGCCTTTGCTATGTAAAAGTTGCTTGATAAGAAACAAGGCTATATGGAATACCATGATAATGAATAGAGTATTTCAGGACATGGTAGTGCTAACAAAAGTATTACAGACAGGAAAAGCATATCCGTATAAAAAATGCATTCATTCCAAACAGCATTCTCTGTCCTCTGCAAGACAGAAGATGTCCAGTGCACTCAGCCTACAACAAGGTGTCTGGCCAGTCCCAGTGGGTAACATATCAGGGCAAGTCAGTGCTGGGTCTGCCTGATGAATAGCTGCATTATTGGGTATTGTAGTTCAGTACCAACATTATCAGATACATGATTGTATACCAGGTGTAATGGACTATATTGATAAGCTCCCATGAAGATACCATATCCAGAATAGCAGCTGCCAGCAGAGAGAATATCTAATTCACCCAACTTCTACATATATATAGCTACATTAAATGGTGATGTGATGTTTAGGCATTAACCATCTATTTGTCTTTCAAGTTTCTGGTGGTGATGCCACCAGCCATTGCAATTTTATCTGAATAATGGAAAGTTAAAGGAACTTCCACTTAAGATTTCCTACTGTAGTGTTTCTTACCTCTAGGTCAGGATCAGTATAGATATTTTACTTGTGGCCTAGTATATCTATTCCAGTTTTATATTCTGGAAATAAGACAATTTCATAGAACAAGTCCAAGGACTACTGGCTCCATTGTGAGATGAACCTGGGTTAATATTGTAGCTATCACCTGAACACCATAAATCTACAGTTTGGCTGCAGGACTACCATGGTGTTTGGAGTCTCCAGAAATATGTTTCAGCTCAGTGCTATGGTGAGTATAATTTTAATGTAGTGTCTTAGTTACTTTTCTATTGTTACTGGGACAAAATACCTGACATCCAGAATTAAGGAACGTAAGGTTTATTTAGCTCATAGTGGAGGTACCAGTCCATACTCAGCAGGCTCCAAGTACAGTGGCACATGCTGTTTATGGCAGTGGGAAAACAGCAAAGAGCAAAGGGAGGGGCAGCAGCTGTGGCAGGTAGCCAGCCTTTTTCCCTTCCTGACATTTGTATGCAGATTCCCTGCCCCAGGGCAAGTGTAGCCATCAAACCCATAGTCCCAGTATTTGGTCATGAATTAATCACAAGCTCTAGAAGCTTCCCCAGTGACTGCATGAAGCTTTGGGGGAACAGTTAGACACCATAACATTCTTAGTAGCTCTTTTCATTTTATCTCTTGATCTATCAAAAAAAAAATACAATTTTGAAGGGAAATAAATGTGAGAAAAAAGTTGCTTTTTTAATGTATTTTAGAGAAGGGTCTGCAGAGTGTTCAGTGTCTCACTATTAGATCGGACTCATAGTGATCCACCCATTTACAGCCTCCCAAGAGCTGGGATTACAGGCAAGCGCCATCATGCCCAGTCTCAATTGCCTTTTCAGCATGCCCTGGGGGCAGGGCCAGCACAGCAGGCCTGGGGATCAAACCCCTGGCCCCTGCACCTGCTTGCAGGCACTTTAATCTGCTGAACTATTTGGCCAGCCCTAAGTGTGAGATAAAAGGAAAGGGAGATGTTAACCAGAATATTTTTCCTATCTAATTCTAAATATTCCATGTAATAATTTGTTTCTAGAAAATCTAGAGAAGAGAACTGAGTAGTAAAAACTCAAAAAGCCAATGAGAGTTTTTTTAGCTTTAACTTTACTGATTTAACAGTTGTGTTTTATTTCTTACAGAGAAGCTCGCAGAGGCTCAGCGCAGGTTTGCTACACTTCAGAATGAGCTTCAGTCATCACTGGATGCGCAGAAAGAAAGCACTGGTGTCACTACGCTGCGACAGCGCAGAAAGCCAGTCTTCCACCTGTCCCATGAGGAACGTGTCCAGCATAGAAATATTAAAGACCTTAAACTGGCCTTCAGCGAGTTCTACCTCAGTCTTATCCTGCTGCAGAACTATCAGGTACTTAGATTCTAATCCTGGAAAATGGCATTTTTAAGTAAATGAGAAATTACAATAAATAGAATTACCTTGAGCTATACCAATTAGTCATTCCAAAAAGGAAAGTCATTAATTGTCTTTATTCTTGGGGGTTTTGCTGTTCTTATTAGCTAGAAACTATGTATTAGAAGTAGTAAAATGGTGTTAACAAAACTTTATTTTGGAAGATTAGTTTCCTACATTTGTATAATATTTAAAGGTGTTCCTTGACTCTAAGACTAACAGTTTGCTTCCTGTTTTTAAAGGCAGCTTTGAGAGTGGTAAGTAAAACAAAACAAAAATAATAATAATAATATATGCTACTCTATTGTTGGATATATAAGAGCTTTTATGTTCCTCTTAACCACTAGCAAAATTTCTACAAAAGCAACTGAACAGTTAATGTTCCTGCTATGTACATTAATAAAATAAAAGAACAGCAGTTGGACATTTAACATTTCTGCAGCTAATACCAATAAAATAAAAGATTTTGACTTTTCAGCTTGCAACTAAAAGAATCTTTTAAATTTAATTGCCTCCAGACTGCAATATAGTGATATTTTAAAAAATTCTAAAGAGAAAATTAGGTTGCACCAGGTAAATGTTGAAACTGAAAATCTAGCCTTTTATATCATTCAATGTTTTAAAAACCTGATGTGAAAAAGTGAAGTACCATATATACTGAATTATGGAAATATGGAATGTTTGTTCATTTATAGTTCTTTTATGTCTGTTTACATAATTAAATTTTATCAAGAATTTAATTAAAAACATATTTAGCCGGATGTAGTAATGCATGGCCGTAATCTCAGCAGTCTGTTAAGCTGAGGCAGGAGGATCACAACTTTGAGCCCAGTTTGGGGAACAAAATGAGACCCAGTCTCAAATAAAAGGTTCTGAGGGATATACCCCTGGGTTCTATCCCCAGTGATATAAAGGAAGGAAGAGAAGGGAGGGAAGGAGGGAGTGAGGACACACATAATTTGTTCAATAATGAATATTTAAATAGGGATTCTTGCTCTTTAGAGCAATCTGGTTACTGTAGGCTTTCTGTTTTATTCTTGTGATTTTTACTTCTCTTTGGTTAGGATACTATCAGATGATGCAATAAAAATGATTCAACAAAAAGTATTACCCAGGGCTGTTAGAATTTTAAAATCAAAGATAATTAAAGTCCCATATCTCTATTCATCTAATTTGTTAATGCATGTGCTTATTACCCTTTCAAAATTCTACTTCCTTTAGTGATTTAATATTATATCAAAGAACCCAGATAAAAACAAATTAGTAGAAAAGGAATAATAGAAGATACATAATGATAAATCCCTTTTCTTTGAAATTTTATTCATAGCTTTTTTCCCCTTCCTTTGGTATTGAGCATTGAACTCAGGGTTTTTGTACTGAGCTACTTTTATTTTTTATTTTGAGAACAGGGTCCTGCCAAATTTCCCAAGCAGGCTTAAATTTGCAATCCTCCTCTTGAGCCTCCCATAGTGCTGATACTTTAGGTGTGCACTATTGTGCCAGGGTTATCCATAACTTTATAACTTAATTTTTATTTTTAAGTTTTATAACTTAATTTTGAAAAAGAAACAAAGTACATTGATGCTATAAAAACATTTATATTTTATGGTTTACTAATACCCTTTTATGTTATAGGACAGTGCCATTATTACATTCTGTTAACTTTCAGCAACTTTTGTTTTGGGTCATTATAAAATCCTCTTAAAAAGAAAAAAAAAAAAAAAAGCTCCCTGAAAAGCAGAAGTAATTGTTAATTATAAAAGTTATGTTCTTACCAGAAAAGCTGTTTCTTGCTGATACACAAATGTACAACTAACTTTTCTACACTGATACTGTATCCTGCAACTTTGTTAAACTTCCTTGTTTTGAATAGTCTATTGATTTATTGTACTTTCTAAATGGATCATCAAGTTAATGGCAAAAAACAAATAAAAACAACTCACAAAACCTCACCAGTTTTATTTTTCCTTTCTAACCTGAATGCCTTTTATTTCCTTTTTTTACCTTACTCTACTGGCTATTATCACCTTATCAAATGTTGAATAAAAGCAGAACGAATATGCTTTTATATTCCGAGTCTTGGAGAGAAAACTTTTTTTATTCACTTAAGATTGTACATTAAAGTATGAGAAAAAAATTGTAAACAAATAAGGAAGCAAATATTATTTTGGAGTGAATGCTTAATGTTTTACTAATGGAGCTGTATGGTGAGCAAACTTAGGAGATCTCTGACTTACAGATCGAGTCTTACAAAGTGACAATTTTCTGCCTTTTCAGCTAACAGGCAAACAACAACAGAATTCAAGAATGTGGAAAAATACAGTATTTTAATATTGAAGAAAGTGAGCAAAAGAGGGAGCTCCTGCCCATTATTAATTGAATCCTGTATGCACAATTACTTCTTTCTACTGAGTGTTACACTCCTGCCCCAAACAGATGAAAGTTAAGAGAACTAGATGATTTTCATTGCAGGTGTTTACAAGCTTGCCTGGTGGAGGGGAGATCAAAATGTTTTCTGAAAATATTCTTTTTGCCAAAGGAGCAAAATAATACAAAATCTGTTTTGAAGACAGTCATAAAGAAATGAAACTGCAAATGTTTTGCCTTAGGACTTTGTGTTTTTTGGGAGAGAAATAATAGAATTTGTAGTTCAGTCTCTGTGTTACCAATACTATACTACCTTGAAAAGAATAAGCGAAATAATACAAAAATGTCTTGTCCTCTTAATAGTAAATGCTTTTATGAAAGCATAGCTATTTCCTTAGGTAGCAGTCTTTGTCCAGTTATCTCTGTCAGTGTTTATTGGTCTTTATTTCTCATTTTCTTTGATAATAGTAAAAATTATGGTTGAATTTCATTTCTTTCCATAGAATCTGAATTTTACAGGGTTTCGAAAAATTCTTAAAAAGCATGACAAGATCCTGGAAACGTCTCGGGGAGCAGATTGGCGAGTTGCTCATGTAGAAGTGGCCCCATTTTATATATGCAAGAAAATCAACCAGCTCATCTCTGAAACTGAGGTACAGTAGCCCTACTCATTTACACGTTTTACTAACATATTATAGAAATAATTGTACAGGCCGAGGAGATGGCTCAGTGGAATAAGCACTTGCCTGGCAAGCGCAAGGGCCTGAGTTCAATCCCTGGTTCTGCCAAAAAAAAAAAAAAAAAAGAAAGGAAGAAAGGAAGTAAGCATTGTAATCCCTGCTCCTGATTTCTTTGTTATGGGCTGGGGAGATTAACTCAGTCATATAAGCGCCTGCCGGGCAAGAACATGGTCCTGAGTTTGATCCTTGGTACAAAAAATAAAAAAGAATTGTACATTTCCATTTTCTTTTTCCATTTGTACATCTCTTATTCATGATTTTTTCTATTGCTGTATATGTTCACCAAGAGGTTATCAGAATATAATGCATAATACATATTATGTGTCACATAATATACACTATATGTATAATGATTCAGAATTATTTACATATCACTTATGTTTAGAATAACATGTCAAAACTTGATAACTTGTCTTTTTAGGCTGTAGTAACCAATGAACTTGAAGATGGTGACAGACAAAAGGCTATGAAGCGTTTACGTGTCCCCCCTTTGGGAGCTGCTCAGGTTAGTATTTATTTCCAACCAGTTTGTTTGCTTATTTAATCAAAGCAGTCTGTTGGTTGCTGGCTATGCTACCCTAAAAAGAATTTTAGCCAGTGTTTACAATGAATTATAAAGTGCTGGTATACTACATAACTTCATATAGAATACTGCTGTTACACCAAAAATGTATTTATTAAAAAATGTCTACATCATAGTTACACCTTCAAAAAATCATTTACATATATAATTATGTCATAGAACAGGTCTTAAGTCATACAAAATATTTTCTGTGATTTTACTAGAATTGAAATTAATACAAGAAAGAACTTCCACATTCTAATAAATGGTATCTAAGAAAACACCTACAATTAATGTCATAGTTAATAGCAAAGTCTGAGTGCTTTCTCTCCAAGACTTGGAATATAAAAGCATGTTCACTGTGCTTTTATTCAACATTTGATAAGGTGATAATAGCCAGTACAATAAGGTAAAGGAAATAGAAGACGTTCAGGTTAGAAAGGAAAAATAAAACTGGTGAGGTTTTGAGTTGTTTTTATTTTTTATTTTTTGCCATTAACTTGATGATCCATGTAGAAAGTACAGTAAATCAATAGACCAACTATTTGAACCAATAAGGGAGTTTGACAAAGTTGCAGGAGACAATATCAGTGTAGAAAAGTTAGTTGTACATTTGTGTGTCAGCAAGAAAAATTAAAAATCAAAAAAATTCAATTATTGTTTATAATACTTTCAGATTATGAAATGTTTAGAAATAATTCTGACAAAATATGTAAAGGATCTTTATATTGAAAACTATAAGCTAACTTTAAAATTTATATGAAATGCAAGGGACCTGGAATAGCCAAAATAACTTTGTGACAACTAAATTTAAAAATTAACATTACCCAATATCAGAACTTATTATTTAAGCTGCAGTAATCAAGACAGTGTGATACCAGTATCAACAAAAAGAATGTACTTCAGTGGAACAAATAAAGAGTCAAAAAAGTAAATTAACGTGTATATGGATGACTAATTTTCAATATAGATACCAAGCAGGTCATTGGAAAAGAAATAGTGTTTTCAATCAATAGTGATAGAACAGTTAGATTCCATATACCAAAACAACTGAGATTTTATTTTTATTTTGTACTGTGTTTTTCTGAAATAGGGGTAGATTTTGGAGTTAGTACTTCTCAAGGTGAGTGTGATGAATACTAATTTCACTTTGTTAGTTATTTCTAAATAATCTAAATATATCGTATTCATTCTTTTGTATATAGGATAAACTGCACAGTTTTTGAAACTAAAGATAATCCTTTCTTGAAAGGACAAAAGACCGTGTTCCTTCTTGTCATGCCATTTTTATCTTTTTTCTTTTAATACCAGGAATTGAACTCAGGATATCATGGTTGCCAGGCAGGCACTGTGCCACTGAGTTATACTCCTGGCCCACCCATATTCCTTCTCAGTGCTTTTATTCTTTAACAATACCAGTTGCTTTTACTGATAAATAATAAGTTAGTTTCAGTGCTTTTGGAGGCAGCTTGAAATTTTTCATGAAATATTAATTCTAAAAACACTACAAAGTTCATGAGATTGTCTCCATGTTTTTTATCTCTTACCATGTGAAATCTAAGGTACTTCCTATTATTTATTTTAGAAAATAGTAATGCTTAAGATCACTTCATAGATGTAAAATTAGTAATAACGAAAATTATTTTTTGAAACTAGTATGTCTTGAAGAATTCACTTTAAATTTCCCAGGCTATCCTACCAATTTGGTTTGAAACTGTCTCATTGCTATTTGTTTCTCAATAAAATTATGGAAAAAAAAATAACAAAGACACTTCCAAAACAAAACAAAACAAAAAAAATTCCCAGGATAATAGCATAAGTGCTCTTGGAGAATAAATGATCTTATTTTTAACATTATCTCTATTCATAGTACCAAATGTGTAACTCTAACTGGGTGATACTGACAAAAATTTTAGAAATGTATGTATTGTAAAAATGAAATTTTAAGGGTCAGCAAGATAGCTCAGCAGACTAAGTGCTTGCTTAGGTAAGCGCAGGGACCAGGGTTCAATACCTGGCACCACATGTTGCACCGGCCCTGCCCCCAGGCACGCTGAGTGGGCAATGGAGTCCAGTCGTGGTGGCACACACCTGTAATCCCAGTAAAAAAAAAAACAAACTTAAAAAAAAAATTTGAACTTAAATATCTCTTATAACAAAACCTTTAATGTATATAAAATCATTTGATGCCTGATATTGTAATCTTACTTGTTTCATGACTCATTTCTGTATTATTATAGGATGATGCAGAATGCATGATTCTCTGGTTCAGATTTATAAAAATTCAGATGATAAAATATTTTTATTGGAGAACTTTGAGGGTGATACTACTAAATACATGTGATATTTTGTTCCATACTAAAAATGCTACTATTCTGTCCACAGCCTGCACCAGCATGGACCACTTTTAGAGTTGGTCTATTTTGTGGAATATTCATTGTACTAAATATTACCCTTGTGCTTGCAGGTAAGTAATTTAAATTTTGAATTAATTAATTCTTACTAATATGCATTAGTCATATTTTGCCCTTCTATAAAGAATTAAGCATGTGTCTATCAGAGCTGCTAAAAAGTTTATCAGGACTGTGTTTTGTTCTCATAAATGCGGAGTTTTTTTGATCATTTGTTGTGTCTATTTTTCCCTTAGGTACAGTTATTCTTTAAAATATCGTCCTCTTACTCAATAATTTTCTTGTTTTTACTACAATTTACTGTGGAGTTCATTTGTCAAGAATTTCAGTTCCTTTGAACATAGATGAAGATACATTTTTATGTTATAAATTTATTCACTAAAATAATGTTTGTAGACATTGAAAATTAGAAAGTGGGAGGATGGATTGATAGTAGCAATTGCACTCTCAACATCAGTAAATGGTATGTTACCAAGAGGCTATCTCCACAGTCTACATTTATTTCCTACTTAGGCAGTTTTATTTATTTGTGAGTATAAAGTTCATATGCGATTCTCCTATGAGTGATATCTGATTGGCTACTTGGATTTCTAATAGACTTATATTTACATAGAAGAATTCGTAATTTGTTTTTATTTTGGTTTTGTTTGTTTTACAGTGATTTCATTTCATCTTGGTTTGGTTTGGCTTTGGGTAGTGCCAGGGGATTAATCCTAGGCCCTTGTTCACACTAGGCAAATGCTGTGCCTAATTGCTTTACCTTCTCAAGCCAAAAACTTTCAGCTTGTTTTCCTCCATTCTACCATATTAATCCATCAGAAAACCCGTTGCTCTGTGTTTAAAATACTTTCTAAATCTGATGAATGGTCACTATATTCATTAACATGCTTGTCTAAAAAACTATTTCTTGTTTAATACTCCACAACAACCTTTTGAACATGTTTTCCTGCATCTACTGTTGTCTCCTTACAACCAGCAGTATGTGTTCTTTAAAAAACGTAAGTTAAGGGGCTGGGGAGATGACTCAGTGGAATAAGTGCTTTCCTGGCAAGCACAAGGGCCTGAGTTCAATCCCTGGTTCTGAAAAAAAAAAAAAAAGTAAGTTAACCAGGCAATGCTGGCACCTGGAATTCCACCGCTCAGGTGGCTGAGTCAGGAGGATCACCACAAGTCTAAGAGCAGCCTGGGCAAGGCCAGCCTAAACTAGTCTCAAAAAGGGGGGGGTGGGCAGCCAAATAGCTCAGCGGATTAAAGCATCTGCTTAAGCAGACTCAGGGGCTTGGAGTTTGATCCCTATCCTGCCCTGCCAACCCTGCCCCCAGGGTGTGCAGAGATGGCAATTGAGACGAGTATGGTTGTGCGAGCCTGTAATCCCAGCACTTGGGAGGCTATAAATGGGACCCTGTAGACCCTGTCCTGAATAAAAAATTTTTTAAAGTCTTTTTCTATTGAAAATCCATTTATAGCTTCTCTTACAATACAACTCCAGCACTTTACCATAGCCTGCAGGGCCCTAGAGGATCTTGCTTCCTTGGACCTTTCTGACTTTGTATCTGTTGACTCTCCCTCACATACTCAGTGAAACTGAGTTTCACTGTTTTCAACCAAATTTGTGTTGCTGCTGTTCTTTAAACATATCACATTCATTCTTATCTAAGAGTCTTTGCTATTGCCCTAGAAGGCTGTTCTTTCCCAAGGTATTTACATGGCTTACTACTTTGTGTAGGTCTCTGTTGAATTGCTACCTCTATAGTTAAGGCCTTCCCTGATCACCCTACTTTAAAATATTCTATCTATATCTTTCTGTCCACTTAAGTTTCATTAGTTTTCTTTAGAGTACATAAAATTATGACTTTATATTATGTAAGTTACATATATATACACACACACATATATGTAGATATATATATATATATATATATATATATATATATATCTACATATATATATATTACTTAATCTGTTTTCCCACTGAAATGCAAATCCTTTGATAAATGGGCTTTGCCTTTCCTTCTCAGTAGTGTTGTTCAAGCACAGAACACTGCATGGCATATGGTAGGAACTCAAAAACTATTGGAGAAATTGAATGACAAAGCAGGAGAGAGATGAAATTAAATGATATACAGAAAACACAAAACTATTAGAAAGAAAGAAAGAAAAAAAACACGCAAAATCTCAGGTTCCTGTGGTTGAAGATTCTTTTTGTTTGAGACAAGGTCTCTCTATTTAGTCTAGGCTTGTCTTAAATTATCTATGGAGCCCAGGCTAGATCTAAACTCATGGGAATTGCCCTGCCTCAGGTTCCCAAGTGCTGCTGGAATTACAGGCATGCACCGCCACATCTGGCTCAAGACTTCTAGTATCAAATAAATGTAGTATACCTCAGGAGTTTGTATAATTAATTATGCTTATGATAAGTGTAAGTTAGTAATAAAATAAACTGCTCAGTAACTTCCGATTTGTGCTTGTAATGATCACAATGCTACATGAACAGGAAGATTTATATCACTGTCACATCTCTCTTTGATTGTAGAGACTATGTATTTTTCCTTTTTTATTTTAGATTCCTAACAAAGTCCAAGCATATAGCAGACATTTGAGAAATAATTTATAGAACTCATTATTCCTTATAAATACATTTGATATTGTCAGTTGTGCATTAGGAAATTGTATTCCAAGTTATAAAAGCTTTCAAGATCATATGAATTTTACCTGTTAACAGTATAATTTGTTTTTATCATTAAAGATCTCCTTTCTATCAGTTATAAAAAATTAATAGTATTATCTCTTGTAAGCTTATGCAGAAGACTTGCCTGAGTTCCAACCCAACCAACTGTTACCTGTTTTGATTTTAAGACAATTCCTTGGGGGCCTGCCCCTTAGCTCAGTTCTTTAAGTGGCTGCTTCCACAAAGCAGTCAGGCTCAGGTTGCTGTGGTTAGATCCCCACAACTCAAGCCAGCCAAACCTGCCCTGAAGGCATTCAGAGCAAAAAAAAAGAATTCCTTAACATTCCTGAAACGGTTTCCTTTTTTCTTTTAATTTAATTTAATTTTGGTTTTGGGGTTTTTTTTTTTGAGATGTACAATTAACTTTAATTTCATCTGTTTCTTTTCTTTCTTTTCTAATTTTTTTATTATTTTGTTTTATTTTATTAAACAAATAGCAATGAGAGTTTCAAAACTGATTAATAGGACAGTTTCAATAATTAATACATTGTACATTGTTATCTTCTTAGTGGTTATCCACAGCACAAGAAGCAGACAGGATATCCTGTCCAAATACTATTAGTACCAATCTTTCTTCTCATTGAATTAAGCAAAAGTAGCTGTATATCTTTCCTAACTATTCTGTATATGCAAATACAAAATGGTCCTTCCTTTGTATCCCCTTTTTTTGTTCAGTCCTGTCAGGGATGGGTATTCCATTGGCATCTAAATACTATAGGTATGTGAATTCAGCAAAACAATCCATCACAGTCCAGCAGACCACAATAGTAGTGGGTTATCAGCAAAAATTGTTGAATTGAGCCGTTCACAGCTCAGCATATTAATATGGCTTTACTTTATTTTTTTTTTATTTTTTTCCATAACTTTATTGAGAAATAAATAGCAATGAGACAGTTTCAAACCAAATTGGTAGGACAGTTTCAATAATTAACACATTGTATACATTCTTCCTAGTGGTTAATCGCTGTACAAGATGCAGACTTGATATCCTATTTACAAACACTATTACAACAAATCCCTCTATTCATTAAGAGAATGTAACTATATATCTATCCTAACCATTTTGAATACACAGATACAAAATGGACATTCATCTGTATCCCCTTTTTTTGTTTAGTTGTGTTATTTGAATATTATAGGTGTGTAAACTCAGCAAAATATTCTAAAAGAGTCCAGTAGTCCATAATAGTATTGGGTCTTCTGCTTCACTGGCAATGTCAGAAATTGTTGACCTGAGTCTCCTACAGCTCAACGTAACGGCATGGCTTTACTTCTTATACTTCGTTTTTATACTTTTCTGCTGGATGGTTAAGACTAAGGTAAGGCAGGACCTATGCAACAAGAGTTGTAGCTTTTGGGTTTGATAAGGTCAGTGAAATCTCCTTAGGATTTATCCTGAGATCCTGTACCTCAGATTGTAGAACCTTTGTCAGTGTCAGCCATGTGGATGAGTCACGGCCATTGCTTGGCCAATGTGCTCTCTGTGAAAGCCTGAGAGAATGTTTTCTCTCCATGTGACTCTCCTTAGGCACACTCTGCATCATCGATCACTTTTCTCTTTGGCCCCATAATCTCCTTGATCAGAAAATTTGGGACACTACCGAGTTACATGACATTACAGTACAAGTTCTCATATGTCCTGAGCCTTAACTGACCTTGGAACTTAATTTTGAAGCAAAAATGAATAGCAAAAACCAAGAAAGAAACAGGGTAAAATACAACAATAGATATGTTACAGATTTTTAAAACAAGAATAGCAAATTAACAATGGTTGTTATGTTACTTATTTTTATCATCAAATCTGTTGTTCAGATTAACTGATACAGTTATGAGAGATTGGCCAAATGATTGAATATTAGCACTTGCTTTTTTTTCAGAACCAGGGATTGAACTCAGGCCCTTGCACTTGCTAGGGAAGCGCTTATTCCACTGAGCCATCTCCCCAGCCCCAGCACTTGCTTTTAATAAACTTTAATTTTTTCTTCTCCTTTTTACTTTTTCCTTAAATTTAGTTTAAAGTGAGTATATTGATAATTGATAAGACATTAGAAATTGTACACATTTCAAAGATCAAGATGAGAGGTATTTGACTATGGTTTTTGTATTACAGATTGCTATACTCAATATAGTTGCTTAGATTGCAGATTATCAGTATACAGTTAGTCAAAGTGAAAATTTTAAATACTAACTGCTTATTTCAAAAAAACTGATGGAAATTATTAGTACAATCATCTCAGTTTCCTTATCTGCTAGCTGAATTAAATACCTTAAACTTATAACACTTTTAGAATTTTATTTGTTAAACAAGTATATTTTATGTGTTTTGTG